GGGGGGGGGGGGGGTTGTTTCAAAATTTTAAACTACTTCTGTCCTTCTTATTTGGATTGACCTATCGCCGGATGGTGGGGGTTGGTGGACATGGAAAAGTACGAGGAATTGAAGGATTGGCCATGAGTTCAATTTTTTAATGTTCAAAATTGCTGCCATTTTGTGCACCATTGATATTTTTTTTCTTGCCATAAGTGACGAAAATAAGATTTGTTTAATGGCTTTTATTGCAGACTTCCAAATTGTTTGCATAAATTTTTGGAATTTTTGTGTCAATAAAATTTAAAGTGTGTCAGATTAACATTTAATTAATATTTTTTGAGTCCTAAGTTTTATAAAAAGTATGTAAGAATATTCATCTTCCCAAATTTCAGCCTTCTTGAAATTTTTACTGGAAATCAATTTGAATCACAATCTCCAAATCCAAAATATACAGATCTCAGTGTGATGGTGTCAGGTCGTGGGGCTTAATTCATATTGTTTGACTTTGTGAGGTGTTGTGAACTTGTAAAGCCTTGTCTCAATGGAGTTAATTGTTCAGATGTGCTTTTGAAATTTGTTCGATTGAGTTACTTATCTCTAAACCTGTTTTGACTCTGCTACTGCCACTGCTTATATTGTTGTTTACACGACTATAATATTTAGGGGTACTTGCTTTTATTTTTCTTATAATGATGGCTTTGCTCATTCTTTGTTGCTTTTATTTCAGAGATCGGGGTATGAAGTTTACTTGTTGGAAGCTACATACAAGGATCCAGTGGTGAGTTTGAATGTAATGTAGTGATCTATGAAGCATGGATACTTTGTTGAGGTTGTCGTACCCGTATTGGATATCGTATCGGATACGTTACTCGTCGAATACTCGAGGATACGTATCAGATACACTTTTTATGTATTCGATAATAATTAAATATTAGGATATTTCACGGATATTTTTGTGGTCGAGCAACATATATAATTTTTGAGTTAAATTTTAAACATCTCTTTTCGAATTCACATACCATACAATACATTAACAAAAATTTATATTACTTCAAAGGCACATGAGTGTTTTTTTAAGTATTATCTACAATTACATGTCAAAAGAGCATAAAATAAAGCTATTACATTATAATCTTAGTAAAAATTACTTCTAAATTCTAAGTAAATATTAGTTTTGATTCTTTTAATTAGTCACTTCACTTTGTGAATATACCATACTACGATATATATTTTCTTGAAACTAAAAAGAATTACTAATTTTCTTTATTGTATGTTAAAGAACTAAAAAAATATATAAGTATTAAGCTAGTTGAAAATAATAAAAAGATTAAATATATTTTATTATAGCCGTATTTTGACCGTACCCTTATCCTATTTTTTTAGATTTTGTCGTATTGCTATATTCGTATCCGTATCGTACCTGTATCCCATATCTGTATCCATATTTCATGGGTGGTGATTTTCTATGCTATTTTTGTACCCTAGCACAATAGAAGGCAAGGTGGGTTTGTATTGCTAAGGTGGTTGTTTTAACCGATGCCATGTGCAGTTTGTCTTACCTGTTAAAAAAAAATTATTTTTTCTGGATAACATTAGTGTTCCTAAATCGTGGCACATATATATCATTGTGTAATTGCAGGGTTGTGCTGCTAGGAATGTTCATGGTTTTACCCAGGATGGCATACAGAGGATGGCTGAACAATGGGAAGAAGCTCCATCCTTGTACTTGAAATTGGACATGAAGGTTTGTTCTTATTAGTGTTTTAAGTTTTAATTTTGGTTNGATTGACCTATCGCCGGATGGTGGGGGTTGGTGGACATGGAAAAGTACGAGGAATTGAAGGATTGGCCATGAGTTCAATTTTTTAATGTTCAAAATTGCTGCCATTTTGTGCACCATTGATATTTTTTTTCTTGCCATAAGTGACGAAAATAAGATTTGTTTAATGGCTTTTATTGCAGACTTCCAAATTGTTTGCATAAATTTTTGGAATTTTTGTGTCAATAAAATTTAAAGTGTGTCAGATTAACATTTAATTAATATTTTTTGAGTCCTAAGATTTATAAAAAGTATGTAAGAATATTCATCTTCCCAAATTTCAGCTTTCTTGAAATTTTTACTGGAAATCAATTTGAATCACAATCTCCAAATCCAAAATATANTTTTATAAAAAGTATGTAAGAATATTCATCTTCCCAAATTTCAGCCTTCTTGAAATTTTTACTGGAAATCAATTTGAATCACAATCTCCAAATCCAAAATATACAGATCTCAGTGTGATGGTGTCAGGTCGTGGGGCTTAATTCATATTGTTTGACTTTGTGAGGTGTTGTGAACTTGTAAAGCCTTGTCTCAATGGAGTTAATTGTTCAGATGTGCTTTTGAAATTTGTTCGATTGAGTTACTTATCTCTAAACCTGTTTTGACTCTGCTACTGCCACTGCTTATATTGTTGTTTACACGACTATAATATTTAGGGGTACTTGCTTTTATTTTTCTTATAATGATGGCTTTGCTCATTCTTTGTTGCTTTTATTTCAGAGATCGGGGTATGAAGTTTACTTGTTGGAAGCTACATACAAGGATCCAGTGGTGAGTTTGAATGTAATGTAGTGATCTATGAAGCATGGATACTTTGTTGAGGTTGTCGTACCCGTATTGGATATCGTATCGGATACGTTACTCGTCGAATACTCGAGGATACGTATCAGATACACTTTTTATGTATTCGATAATAATTAAATATTAGGATATTTCACGGATATTTTTGTGGTCGAGCAACATATATAATTTTTGAGTTAAATTTTAAACATCTCTTTTCGAATTCACATACCATACAATACATTAACAAAAATTTATATTACTTCAAAGGCACATGAGTGTTTTTTTAAGTATTATCTACAATTACATGTCAAAAGAGCATAAAATAAAGCTATTACATTATAATCTTAGTAAAAATTACTTCTAAATTCTAAGTAAATATTAGTTTTGATTCTTTTAATTAGTCACTTCACTTTGTGAATATACCATACTACGATATATATTTTCTTGAAACTAAAAAGAATTACTAATTTTCTTTATTGTGTGTTAAAGAACTAAAAAAATATATAAGTATTAAGCTAGTTGAAAATAATAAAAAGATTAAATATATGTTATTATAGCCGTATTTTGACCGTACCCTTATCCTATTTTTTTAGATTTTGTCGTATTGCTATATTCGTATCGTATCGTACCTGTATCCCATATCTGTATCCATGTTTCATGGGTGGTGATTTTCTATGCTATTTTTGTACCCTAGCACAATAGAAGGCAAGGTGGGTTTGTATTGCTAAGGTGGTTGTTTTAACCGATGCCACGTGCAGTTTGTCTTACCTGTTAAAAAAAAATTATTTTTTCTGGATAACATTAGTGTTCCTAAATCGTGGCACATATATATCATTGTGTAATTTCAGGGTTGTGCTGCTAGGAATGTTCATGGTTTTACCCAGGATGGCATACAGAGGATGGCTGAACAATGGGAAGAAGCTCCATCCTTGTACTTGAAATTGGACATGAAGGTTTGTTCTTATTAGTGTTTTAAGTTTTAATTTTGGTTAAAAATGTTGGAAGCTGTTCAACTCATGGGTAGAAACTTTATGACTTGAGTGAAGCCAAAAGATGCACAAAATGAAAAATTTTGCAAGCAAGTTAGTACTATTAAAAGTGAAAAACTAATGGTAATTTATGTTGCTTAAAAAATTTGAAAACTTGGGCTTGACATGCATTCACCATTAATGCTCTGTTTTGCATTGCAGTCATTACTCCACGGAGATGACTTGGAGGAAAGCGGAATACAAGAGGTAATTTTGTTAGATATGTGATGCTTAAATGCTTTAGCGGTTCATCTAGCCTGGGAAAAGGCTTACCGGCCTTACATTCCTATGCTTTAACATATATACTGCTGAAAAGTTTCAAATGTGATTATTCACATGGGGAAAAAAATTGGGCTTAGATGTCTGAACCCACAGAGGGACCTAACTTTTAGTCTTAATTGTACTATGAATGAAGAAAATTGGAGGAAAAAATTCTGATATGTTCATGGTATAGCTGTAGAGGATACTTTATAATGGACTTACCAGATTATGCTTTGTACTTCGATGTGAAAAATTGGCTGAAAGATTGGTATACAAGCTCCTCCCCTTGTCCCCTTGTCCCCTTGTGCCCTCCCCCAATCTCTGTTCTTTCACCAACCAAATAAATTTCTCGGGTTGCCTATGCAGTTTAAACCTCTGAGAAGTTATTCTTACTAATCTTTAATCATTTTTATCCAATTTACTAGGTTGACATGGATACAGAAGATGGAGATCCTTCGAGTGGCCAATTAGGATCAGAAGAAAGAAATCTTGAGGCCATTGAACCTCTTGTAGGAGATTATGCTCCTGATGGTATGCTTTAGGTTTCACCATGCATGGGGTTTTTGTTTATTTTCCTGTCTAGTAAATTGCATTAATAACTCATCAGTTTGAGAAATGCTAAGCGATCCCTAAGAATTGTATGTAGTTATAGAGATATCCTCTCTGCTCATGAAATGTCTTCCAGCCAAAAATCCCTAGCAGGGTCTCCTTGTTATTTTGCCACAATTCCAAGGGTGTCATGGTTCTGGGTTGCAATATCAGTCATGGATTTAGAGGGTACTGATACAAAATCGGTTGTGGCAAAGAATAGCCAATATGCAAAAATGGTTTGATAGAAATTCCAAAATATTCTTAATAGATCATGAAAATTTTTAAAAAATATAAGTAACAACAGCAACACGTCAAATGTCCAAAATATATCATCTACCATATTAAACATAGTAAAAATAAAATATAAAGGCGTTATTGGAATTATTTATAATCATTATTATTGTCTCAAAGTTAATTATCCAAATTGGCAAGTAATTTTTACTATAAGGATCATCTAAATTTAAATGTAATTTAATTTCAGAATTTATTCATTAATATTAAAAAAATTAAAATACAGAAAATAGTATTTTGATTAATGTATGAGAGTGTAAAAGTTTTTTTTGAGGAATTTTAGTGTAGGTATAGATTACACACACATACACATTAATTATAAAATTTAAATTATATAGGTATTGCGTACAACCCACACTTTTTTGTAATAGATAATAACAGCAGTGTAATAGCTATGATACTTACGGGTCTTTGGCTCTGTTAAAGAGTCTTAGACCATTTAGACTAGCCCGGCGACGTGTGTGTGTGTCTGAGAGAGAGAGAGAGGGTGATTGTGATTGAAGGCGATCGACAAGTGAGAGAAGACCTTCGATTCTCGCTGTAGTGTGTCCCAGCTGCGCTACATGATAGAATAAGAAGAAGAGGAAGAAGAAGGAGCTTTCTCCATTTGATTGGATCGGAGGTGGCCGAGTCGTACGACTCAATCGATACTTTGAACCTTGGTGGGAGTCAATTTAATTCACACTTTATCTCCTCTCTGTATCATTTTAGTCAGTTAATATAGGATTCATCACATGTTATTTATTGCATCTTGATTGCACTTTTCAATTCCTAACTTAGGTCCTGGCTTGACGAATATGCAAGTTTAGATTTCATGCAAACATGGTTTACATGAATATCAGCAANAGGTCCTGGATTGACGAATATGCAAGTTTAGATTTCATGCAAACATGGTTTACATGAATATCAGCAAACAATTTGACATGTCGCCATAAACATGCATTATCATGTACTATTTTTTTTTTCCTTATTTTGATTTTTTTTAATACACCTCACTACCTCAGTGCATTGCGGGCACTTGTATGCCATAGGACATTCCTAAGAAGTTTTAATGACATGTTACTCGTTCTTGGCTAGAAATTTACTAGTTGTGAGTGCAATGCTTGATAGTTATGAGTTGCTGTGCTTGTATAAATTGTATGGAGGAGAACGAGTAGGAAAAAAAAAAAAGAGAGGACAAATTCCTTATGATCAACCATACATAGAATTGAGCCCCACATAGTGGCAGTAGGTATGGTTTACAAAAGGAGAAGTATTTAAGGCGGTGAATGGTGATTGTCAAAAAACTTGCTAGTGACCAAGATCTCTCTCTCTCTCCCCCCCCCCGGGTTGCTTCCACTAGAAACACATTGAGCGGAAAAATGACTGATGACTGTGCTTTGATGGAACCATCGGAGAATTAGAATGATTGTGTGCTTTAGTCAATCAAGGCTTAATACAACGTGCTTTATAATGGGTTTCTTTGATCATAGGCTTCTCAAAAATATAATAAAGCTGGGTTTTGGATAACTTCACAAGTTGATGGATGTCAAAACAACACTTATTTCTGCATTCTACTTATATATGAATCCCCTATTGTTTCTTCTGTCATCATGAATTTGTTTTCCAAACTCACTTTCTTATTTTCAACATCATTGCAACGTTTAGGTTCTTTAATGCATGATAATAGATTTGACACTAAAGACGACCATCCAGCTGAGGAAGTGAAAGAATTGGGGAAAAGTAAATGGTCTGATGTTTTGGATGAAGATGATGCACAAAGAACTGGAGTGGCGAAAGGGAATTTAAGTGCTCTTTCTGGATTGATCCAAGCTTATGGGAAGGGAGGTAAATCTGTTCATTGGGGTGACCAGGTATGCATTGCATGCCATGTTTTCATATGTCAAGCTCTGTGTCCGCGTGACCATTCTATTTTTCAGAGCATGATCAATGTATAAAGTGATCGCATATTTTTTGTGTGCGACAGCATATGGTGCGACTTTATGTGCATTTGTGAGATTCTTGAGCTTTTAGAAAACATTGTGAGGGTACACAACTGGAAAGATAAATATGATGATGAAGCAATTATTTGCTTTTGGGCCACAAAAAATACGTAGTGGAAAATAGTAATTGAATGATGCCTAGTAGTATAACCTGTAGTCATCAAGGAAAATTTTTATCCTTTTGCTACCAAAGCTTCTAAATAGTGAGGGGCCAATTCTTGAAGGGATTGCCTGGTATTTATGTGTGATGAGGCAGCAGTGGGGGTAAAATATTTGAGGATTAGAGGTTAGCGTCACTTAGCAAGGAAGCTCCCTTTTATCAGAAAGTTCTCTGCCAATTCCCCCCTCCCCCCCCCCAAAAAAAAAAAAAACACTACTACTTCTGTTTGCTCACCTTGATTTTGTCTTACAGAGTCCCCTTGTTTCAGAAATCCATCTTTGATTTCTGCCCCTTATGTGGAGCCACTCGCTTTTCAGGTTGGCAATACTGGCTTCTCTATTGCTGCAGCAAAAAAAGCAAATGTTTTATCCATAGTAATTGGTGCTGGTTCTGGATACAACTTGGTAAGTTTTCCAGCTACTACAATTGGCTACTTGGAAAGCTCCAAAATGTCTTTTTCCCGCTTCTGAGATGATAACACTGCATCTTTGTTGGGATTTTTTGTTGTTGTTGTTGTTTCGAGCAGGCCTTTAGCATCAACATCCAACGGAGCTTGTTCTTTATAATTCCTTGTTTCATTTTCAGTTCTGATGACATTCTATTCTTTATGTATCGGCCAAACAAGAAGCCAGCTTTCTCATCTAGTTTTCTTTTTTTTCTTTTTCTGATTTCAATCTTTGCAGAAGTCAAACCCTTTACCAGAAGAAGAGAATCTGACATCAACTCAAAAAACGGGCGAGTCAAGAGGGCAAAACATATTCCAAGAACGACTTCGCGCAGAGCGTGAATCTTCCAGAGCTATTTTTGAGAAGAGACGGCAACGAATCGGTGGGCTTAATGGGGAGGAGGAACAGTACTAGAACGCTTTAAGCCCCTCATGGTAATTTTTTTTTTAATTGAATTCGTTCCGTGGTTATGTGTGGTGCTATTGCCTTGGGTACAAGAGTGATCAAAAAGAGAGAAAAAAAAGAGGGGCAAAAAATAGTAATATTCATCCCCCCCACCCCGGCTTTGTATGAGCTTTGCAAAATGGAACATTATATCGAAACACTCTTGGTAATGCACAAAACCATTCCGAAAAATAGAATGAAAAAAAAAATTAATAAAAAATGCTTGTGAAACATTTTGAAATATTGGTCGAAATATATTAAAAAACGTCGAATTGAAACACATTGAACGTAGTGATTTCAATATTGAATTACTCATTCTGATTGAGTTTTCATGGAAGTGGAAATGTTTTATTCTTTTTGATCATTCGGAAATGAAATTCAGTTCTTTGATTGGATTAGAGCTCCTCTGATGNTTAATAAAAAATGCTTGTGAAACATTTTGAAATATTGGTCGAAATATATTAAAAAACGTTGAATTGAAACACATTGAACGTAGTGATTTCAATATTGAATTACTCATTCTGTTTGATTTTTCATGGAAGTGGAAATGTTTTATTCGTTTTGATCATTCGGAAATGAAATTCAGTTCTTTGATTGGATTAGAGCTCCTCTGATGTTCAACAAAACCAGTGTTCCCAAGACGATCCACCTTATTTTCTTTATCTGTTGAATGAAGTAAAGAAAGGTGAACCTCTTGTGGTTTTGTTTTTTCAAGATAGTTAAACCAACAACTACTTAGAGGGGCCCACAAAGGTAATTCAACAAATACAATTGTGATGTCCACCTTCTCTCTCCACTTTTCCGTCCGAATTTAGACGGATTGAATTTGGACGCAAGAGATGCATTTTTCTCTTTTTTTCTTTCTTCTCCATTTTCCTTCTTCAACCAAACAAAAGAAAACGTCACTTTTCCTCCTATTTTTTATCCGCCGTTTTTTCATTCACCCATTTTCATTTAGGACTCTGACTATGGCACAGCTAAAAAAAAAATTCGATACCATATATCTCTAAATTTTACTATTTGAAAGAGTGTTTTTATTACTTTTGTGGACCATTTTATTATTAAAAAATTTATTACTTTTGTAGGTATTTTTACACTGTTGTGGGTGTTTTTATCACATTTATGGTAATTATTTTTATCATTTTTTTTAAGTACAAAAAAATTTATAATTTTTGTGAGTGATTTATCACATTTGTGGTTGTTTGTATTATATTTTTGAATTTTTTTTATCACTGTTGTGATAACTATTTTTATTATTTTTTTGGATATAACAAATGTGATTTTGTTATGGTACCAAAATTTTGAATTTTGTTATCTTAGTTAAATCTTTTCATTTATACCAAATAGGGTATAAAGAAATAATGAAAACAGTGTTTATCAAAAATGGATCAGCCAGTCCGATTGGTCAAACAATGAACCAACAAAAGTAGACAACATCATTTTGTCAGATTGGTAAAACGTAGAATTAATTATATTAGGTCTCAAAAATATGTATTTTGTTTTATTTTAGTTTCTAATATTTTAATTATATAATTTTAGTTCATGAAATATTAAATAATTTTTAAATGGTCCTTTAAACAGATAACATCTAAATTGTTAATAATTTTTTATTACAAATTTGTCACGTATTAGTTAAATATAAGTAAAAAAATAATTTGGATAACTCTTGATTAAATTTTTACTCAAATTTTGATCAAATAATTATTAAAATTATACAGTTTTGATCATGAGTTATCCAAATTTTGGTTTAGAAATATTCATATTACTTATTTTTTTGTCAAAAGTTACTCAAATTTTGGTCAAAAGCTACAAAAATTATTATTTTTTTCCATATTTAGGTATCACATGATAATTTTATAATAAAATATTGTTAGCAATTTAGATATTGTTTTCTTGAAGGACAACATAAAAATATATTCAAATGCTTAATGAACCAAAATGATGTAATTGTAATATCGGGGACTAAAATGAAACAAACTCAATATTTTAGTAATCTCCAGTGCAATTAATCCAAAAAACTTATTACAAAATCCAAACACATACACAATCACAAAGAAGTACTCAAAAAATTGGAAATTTACTGTGATGGTTGAAACAAAAAGGCTTGCAAAATGAAGAAGGGGGAAACCCAGAAGTAGATTCCGAGATATCGAGGAACAATGAAAAGAACCCAAGAAGTATCTTAAGATACCAAACGAAAATACATGAGAGAGTCGCCTAGTTTCAAGTTTCAAGTTTCAACTCTCTCTCTCTCTCTCCATCGATTCAACTTCTACTCACATTTTGTAAATAATTTCATTAATTTTTCATTTTTTTTATTTTATCTCTATGGGATACGTTTGATATTTTTTTTAGTTAAATTATTATATTTTATAATTTGTTTATTATATAATCGATCCGATCAATTGTTGTGACGGTTGAACCAGTAAATTATTGATTTGAACGAGTAAATCAACTTGAATTTTTTTTTTCCATCCAATTATATGAGTATCTGTCNTATTTTATCTCTATGGGATACGTTTGATATTTTTTTTAGTTAAATTATTATGTTTTATAATTTGTTTATTATATGATCGATCCGATCAATTGTTGTGACGGTTGAACCAGTAAATTATTGATCTGAACGAGTAAATCAACTTGAATTTTTTTTTTCCATCCAATTATATGAGTATCTGTCTTATCACATGACTTCTTGATTTAATATTTGTGTAATATAATAATAATAATAATAATACTTTTGATTTTATTTTTATTTATTTAAAATTAAATTTTACTTACCATGTTAATTGTCATAAAAATTAAATTTTATTTATCTAGGGAGAATTACTATTCAAGTAATCTATCTACTTATCTATATATAAATAACAATCAATTTATTCGGGATAAGACTTAANCTTTTGATTTTATTTTTATTTATTTAAAATTAAATTTTACTTACCGTGTTAATTGTCATAAAAATTAAATTTTATTTATCTAGGGAGAATTACTATTCAAGTAATCTATCTACTTATCTATATATAAATAACAATCAATTTATTCGGGATAAGACTTAAGAAATATTCTTTTTTTATTTTCTCAAATCTTAGAAACTTTAATTTATTTTGATACATTCTCTAATTGTATTGTCTCCACTATTTGGTAACTACTCATTCAATCTTGTTTTTTTTTTAAAAAAAAATCACTCTAAATGATACATAATTCTTTATCCAACTTTCGACTTCTTAAATGGTGGGGATAATAGGGAGTAGAGAGTAGAAAGAAAGGAAGGAAGAATGGAATAATCAAGAAAAAGATAATTTATTTTTTTACAATAATGGTGCGTTTNAAAAAAAAAAAATCACTCTAAATGATACATAATTCTTTATCCAACTTTCGACTTCTTAAANTTTAAAAAAAAATCACTCTAAATGATACATAATTCTTTATCCAACTTTCGACTTCTTAAATGGTGGGGATAATAGGGAGTAGAGAGTAGAAAGAAAGGAAGGAAGAATGGAATAATCAAGAAAAAGATAATTTATTTTTTTACAATAATGGTGCGTTTGGTATGAAATTAATACTTTTACATGAGAATGAAATTAAGATAAGAATGAAATGAAATATACATTACTATTTAGATGTTTGATAACAACAAAGATTAAGTGTTGGAATAAAATTAAAAATTTATTTAAATATTTGGATAACCCTTAGACGTAAGACCTAGACCTGACCCTAGATTTGGACCCGATTTCGAACCCCCTGAGCTTAGAATCCAGACCCGACCCCGACTCTAACGCCCCCAATATCCTAGATATTAGACTTGTCGACGAATTGAGTTTGAATCTGATTTCTGACTGATCCGAATCGGAATCAATTTCAAAAAGTTCAATCCGAAATTTGATGGATTTTATATTTGTGGTTCATATCCAAATCTATTAATAATCTAAAAATTCGATCTGATTTAATCCGAATAACTTAATTTTCTAAATTTTAACAAATTATACCTAAATTTTAACTAAACTTTTTAAAATAATCACTTAATTTTTTTAATATTTATATAAAAATATATAAATAATTCAAATTAGATATAGGTATATTCATATCCGAATCCATGAATTATTGATAAAAAAAATATAAATAATTCAAATTCGGGTTCGAATTTATCAATAAAAAATATTAATTCATATCTGACTAATCGAATTTGAATCAAAATCTGATCCATTAATAGGTCTACCAAATACGTTATCTAGTTGAATACATCCCAATAAAATGACAAAATACTAATTGTTCAAATCAAATTATAATTACCAGTTTAACCCGCAAATACGAATAAACCTCTCAATCTCTAAATCAAAAAAATCCTATCGAGATCCAATCGTTAAATAAAGTGAGGAAGTGTGCAATATGACAATGAATAATATACTCGACGGAGAAGATATCGAATACCAAATAAACCAAAGATCACCAAAACATCTCAAGCAATAGATACAAAACAACAAACTCATATTTTGCATATTTTACGTTATGCGAGATCAAAACACATATTTGACACCTTACTAATCATTCCACCTCAACCCAATCATACAAGCCTATTGATTGGCAATGCATTAGACTTTTGACTACCCTAATCTAGTCACAATTCACACAAAATACGATAACCGTGGTCAATGTACTCAACAAAATTCAATAGAAAATTTACAACCACAATAACACAAAATAGAATACAACTATAAATCATCAAGAAACACACTCATTGTAAAAAAAAATTCAAATATAAAATATATTGTATATCACTCTGTACCTTAAAATCATGTATCGATTGTAATAACACTATACCTCATGTTACCAACGCACATCTATTCAATTATTATTTGAATCGGATCATTAAACATCGATTATGTGTTGACTCAACTTTCAAGATTTTCTCATTTTCTACCTCTCTGTGTCCCTGTAATTCATCCTTTGTATAGGAAAGACTTGCCTACTTTATTTTTATTTATTATTATTATCATTATCATTATTACTATTACTATTATTTTGACTCGGTGATGGGATCTTTGACTAAGTCAGATCTGGATCTACAGAATTTCATTTTCTAATCAATCTTAATCATAGTCAACCCAAAATATATATATATATATATATATATATATATATATATATATATATATATATATATATATATNATATATATATTTTTTTTAATTATCTATTGTTTAATCAATGAGTGCTTCTGGGTCTGGTTGACCCAAAAAAAATGATGTATGAATTGAGAAGAGCTGATGATGTTCATTCTGATAAATACACTATGATATTTCACAAAGTACCCCTCTAATGTTCAGAACTTAAAGAAATATTTTTGTTCAGCAATCTCAATCGCGCTCTCAATAGGAGCCATTTTACACATTAAGACCTTTTGTAATTGTTGCATTGAACACACTTGAAAATGACATAACTACACCTTTTACATTGATGGTAGATTTCAAATCCAAACTTAATATATAATGGATCTCTCGCCTTTACTCTTTTTTAAATTTAAATATAAATATAAATAAAAAAAATTAAAAACCTTCACAAATCTTATATCCAAACTCATATTAAATTAAAGAAGACTTAAATTTTTACTCAAATTTAGAGAATTCAAACTTTTGCTCAAATCACAAATAGTCGGATGTTATTTTCTTTTAAAGATAATATAGTTATACTAGTCATTACCAGTGTATGAAGACACTATATAACAAACAAATAAAACTTAAATAATTACCCAAATTTAAAAGGAATGACTTAAAAATATTCATACCAATTCTTTTTTTAAAATGACTCAAAATATATTGTCTGTCATATCCTTCGTATTAATGACACTATCATAAAAATATATAAAAACTCTCAAAAACAATACCAACACCGTANCTATCATAATATATAAAAACTCTCAAAAACAATACCAACACCGTATATATAAATGTCTTTAAGGAAAAAAAATACTAACATAATTCCATTGAAGGTTACAATTTTTAAGCAATAAATAAAATCTTACTCGTATATAAGACTCGCGAATTTATAACTTCTATTACCACTCAATCCAATAACACAACATAATTATAAACTCAACAATTATATTTCTAATTCACTCTATCCCCATGTAATAAATACCTCAAGCAAAAAAAAAAAAATATTAATAGAATACAATTAAATTCACATTCTTTAACGGATAAATAAAATTAACAAAAATCTTACTCATTTATAAAATTTATGAATTTATCACTATTCAACCCTAAATGACATAATATCATTACAAATTTAATCACTAAATGCCCAATTCCCCACATATAAACATACACAGAAAAACACTCACACACATTTTCTTTTTGGTTACCAATAAATACTCAAGTTTTTAAGATATAATAATAATAAATTAATGTTTAATTAAAAAACAGGATAAAAATCATGGACTTTCCCTGAGTTTTGACAATATTACATGGACAACTCCTAACATTTTATAAATAACACGGATACCCATTGAAGTTTGAATTCATTGCCTAGAGACTCTTTTGTCTCCCTTCCGTCAATGTCGCTAATAAAAATTGATAATTTCATCCCAAAATTTTTTATTATTTTTACAATTACCCTTCTCTAAATTTAGTACCAAAAAAATTAAAAATTTAATAAAATCAAATAAAATTTAATTTATCACCAAAAAAATTAATTAAATGAATTTTAATATTAATTTGATAACAATAAAAATTAATTTGATATTAATTCGACAAAGTTTAATATAAATTGAAAAAAATTAAATGTCAATTTTATATAAAATTATATATTGATTTACAATCTAAGGTTCATTTTGTGTTGAATCTTATTTAGTGTTTTTAATCAATGTGCTATTTTTTTTCATTGTGTTATTTACAAATTAAGAAGTAAGTAGCAAAATACATGTCACATATATAAAAACTTTAAAATATTTTTATAGAATAAATAATTTTATAAGATATATTTTTCACTGTTTCATGGAGTAAATAATAACAAAAATAATAGTATGAGAGAGAGAAAGAGAGAGAAAATTATATGAGAGTTAAGAGTCTTAAAGTTATACAAAGAATGAAAGACAAATTAGGACCATCAGATCAAAACGATCTGAACCGCGAAAAGCTCAAGACAAACAATCTAACTACTTTATTATATAGATTTCACTTTCTTCTAAATTTGAGTTTGTCCGTTAAAATTTTTTATTTTAAATTAAGTTTTTTATTCAATTATTGACTAAAAATTGAGTAAGGTTGGACATGTTGTAAAACAATAATGGGAAAAATAAGTTTGTATGTACACAAAATTTTATTTTTGTAGATCGTATGTCACATATAAATACGGATAACACTATAATACCTTCAAAAATATTTTCGATACCATGCTGGAACAGATTAGGAGTCGTAGATCTTTGTGTGACATCATTTATTATAGTCATTAATAGTAACAATAACAAAATAAAAATAAATTTATGTGTGTTATATTTTTATTGGACAAAAAATAATGAGGTACCCAAAAAAAATTAGGGTTAATTACAATATGTCCCTCCAACTAATGTTGCTTATTGCAATCAGTTCCTTGTGGTTTCAAATGCAACAACTGCCCCCTCCAAGTTTTAAGTGGTTTAAACTGACTAATAATTGTGGTTGAAGACATGAAAGAACTATTACACACTCTATTTTGTACCTTATTTTTCATATTTTTTTTCTTAAAATACCAATGTAGTTATTAAAAAATAAAAAAACAAAAAAGTCGAGGCTAAAAAATAAAAATATCTTCACACCTCCGCCTTATCATAGGGAAGGGAGGGTTTCTACCTGAAGTGGGAAGGGAATGAGAGTTAAAGATAAGGGAGGATGGAAGGGGGTAAGGCTAAGGGAAAAAAATAGGTGTAAGGATAATTATCTTTTTTTAACAAAATAAGGATCACGTGAATTTGATATTTTTAATTTTTTGTCAATTTTTATTGTCTAAAAATAACTATTGTAGTTAATTATAAACTATTCAAATTTAAAAGAGGTTGTTTGTTGAAATTAAAATCTAAAGTGAGTAACAAACTATCCAAAATCGAAGGGATATTTTTGTAATTAACCCAAAAAATTATATTCGGCTGTTGTCATGGGCAGAGCTGCACGTGGCCCTGCACACCCTCAATTTGTTTTTAAAAAAATATTATATATATACTTATATTTATATATTTTAAAAATTATATATATATATATATTATTATTGCCAACCATATAAGTTTCTTATTTCAATTGTTTAGTCTTTTTTATTGTATTAAGGCTTTCTCCATATATCATTAATTTTATTATTTATGAATTTTTGCAAGTAAAGTTTCTTGCAATTGACCTTTATTTGACTTCTATTTTTCTACAAAAAATTGTCTCTATTTTTATTCGAGTATTGATTATAATATTTATTATGTGTCAATCAATTGTCAATTTTTTTACTTTGTTTAGTTCTTAAATTTTAGTTTAGTAATTTTATTATGCTAATATCTCAGTGATAATGTTTGGAACATCATTTATTAAATAAATTTAATAAATTATTAGTGAATAAGTAACAATTTTTTAATTACAAAAATGACAATTAGCCCCACTTTTTTTATAATGGTGATAATTATTGTTTTTTTTATAAATATACAACATATATTATTTTTTGGCCTCTTTATGTTAATGGATATCATGTATCAAATATGATATAATAAATATAAATATATTATATAATATGATAAGTTAAAAGAAAATAATTAAAATTTATAATTAAAATATCTGCCCTAAACAAAATTTATGCCTCGGCTGCCCACACCTATAGGTCCCACGTATTTAATTCCATGTGAGCAAAGGCATGGCAATGGTCTATAAAATGCCCAGCAGTAGCACTCTGCCATAAACCAGAGAAACTAAAGCCAAACACAAGTTCTCTCTCTCTCTCTCTCTCTCTCTCTCTCTCTCTCTCTCATGGCTGCCACTACAGGGCACTGCATTGCAAGGTTCATAGACCCAGAACCAATGGAATACTCCATCTCAGCCATTTCTATTAGACAATCTGTCAATGCTTTCAAAAAAGTATGCTTGCCTCTTTTCTCCATATTACACTTTCTACCTCTTGAACTATACATAATATATTTTCGGTTCACTAACCAAGTTTATGACTCTGGAACAGAGAAACCTGCTCTGTTCAATGTCCATGAATGGTTGCCAAGGTGACCCCAGACTACCGGTGGGCACCGTCGAAACGCGCACTTTACCGGCAGTTTTGAGCACTGCATTGGCCGTGGACCGCCTCAAGTCCGCCGTGTCAGAGTTACAATCCGACCCACCTCCGTTCGACTCTGGAATCATTCGTCTCCAGGTATATTTTCACCTTCCACTCTCAATTATGTACCGTTTCTTCAATATGCATGTTATGGTGAGTTTCTTACAACCAGAGCTCCAATGGCTCAAGGAACAAGATAGACTCTATTCTTACCACATTGCACTCTTATCCGCAGCGCCGGCCCACGTCTTAGAGCCTCCAATTTAATACATATATGTGTGGTCTAAAAAAAAATTAGAAACACTTCAAAAAATTTAGGGCTCTAATTTTAAATTAATTTTAGGTACAAAGTACGAACATATTGAGAAATCGATACGAAAATAACGAGTTTGAATTTAATTTTAATAGACATAAATGATAAATAAATAAACTTGTTAAATTTCTTAAATAAACAGATAAACACGAAATGAACGAACCTGCTAAACATGACTTATACATAGTATAAATTTGACTATATATGATTATAAATGGAAATGGTATAGATTGAGCCAGTTTTGGTTGTATATAACTGAATACTTTTTTTTTAAATCTTACCCTTTTTTTTATATATATAAATACTAAAATGTGAGTGATTTTAACACACAATTTCTTATGTTAAGTGAGATTTTTGTTATGTCCCATCTTCTTGAAAATTCTAAATATGAATTTTTTAATTTTAAGACATCATAGTCATTCGTGGTAAGACGAAAGCCTTGTAAATAAGTAAGAGTTTTCACTTGTAAGAACCAAAGAACTAAGTTTTAGCTTAAATTCGAGATCTTTTTCATCTGTCACAAAACAAACAGACACAAAATAGGTAAACAAATAAAGTGGGTTAGGATAGCTTACTATTGAAAATTCTACTAACATTTATCAATTAGAAAATTATTTTGTTATATTAACAAATTTTAATTTTATTTTTTTTTTATATATTTTTAACTAATAACAGACTTTATAATATTTTAGTTTATAAATTTTATTTGAAGTAATAAAATTATATACGAAAAAGTAAAAACTAAATTTGTATTTTTACATCTCAAAAATTTAAAAAATATTTTTAAATAAATAATATTAATATTTGAATAATTATTTTATCATGGATCTTATTTAACATTTTCGCTTAGGCTCGAATTTGGTCAGCCCACCCCTGCTTAAACTAAACTTAGGTATATGAAGTACTTAACTTATCACAATAAAACTATTTAAACTATCAAATTAAAATAATTTAGTCTAATTATAATGAAGGACTACAAGTCTCAATTCCAATTCTACAAATAAAAATAAAACAAATGAGACGACTACAAGTCTTAATTCTAATTCAACATATAAAAATAAAATACTAGATAGAACTACAAACCCAAATATCAATTAAATATATAAAAAAATAAATCATAGAAGAGGACTACAAGCCCCAATTTTATTTCAACATAGAAAAATAAATACAGGATTACAAATCCGAGTTTCAAATTAATGCATAAAAAATAAATCATAAGAGATTATTATAAGCCCCAATTTCATATTTTTAATTCAACATATAAACATAAAACAAAGAAGGGGGCTACAAGCTCCAAATTTAGTTCAATGTATAAACATAAAACAATGAGACGATTAACATATTTCGTAACATATTAGTTAATTTTTAAATGTCCAAATTTTTGATATCATCTTTCATTGATATTTATAAGTGAAACTCATATATTTGTCAAAATAAAATAATTATCCTTAAATTTTTTTAAAAAAATTGAGTGTGGCAAGTCTCTAATAAATTTCAAATTTTTTAAAATTATACTTAGTCCCCAAAATTTTTAAAATTTCAGTGGGGCAGCTGCCCCATTGTAGATTTGCCAATGTGGTTGAGGCTTGTCAATCGCTTTGAGTTTGTGTCGACTTTGAGTGAGTTGATGTCAAAAAATATTTTATTTATATTCGATTTATTTATTAATTCATATTTAATAAATCGTGTCATATCGAGTTCGTGTTGTATATAAATTTTGTATAATTGATATGTAATCGAGAATCGTATATTTTTTTTAGTTAGCTTCACTTATGCTCAATTCGTCGAATTCACTTATTTACAAAAAAATCCTGAAATTTCCATATTTTGACCAAATGTGGCGTAGATGGTGTGCTAATGATTGACATAAATTGATATTATTATTGCCTATATAAAAGGTAATGGGTAATGGGTCGAACCTGTTGGCTATAAGCCTTTCCTTGTTCATAAGCCTTTCCTTGTTCATATCAGATAAATTATTTTTTTATGAAAAATTAATTAATAATGTTATTTCTCTTTTCTTGTGTAAGTTTATGAATATTTAATTACAACCAATCCTTATCAAAGGCAAATATTAGTTTCTCATGTTCTCCTTACCCCTCTATAAGTGTTTTATCTTCTGTCCCTCCCTCTCCGTGTATGCATTGTTTTCAGCTGTAGTAGTTGATTTATTAATAATAGTAGAGATCAACTGATTTATATTTAAAAAATACAAAGCATCCATTTAGATTAATAATTATAAAACAAACGGCCAAATTAATGGCGGTGCGTTTCATAACATTTTAGTTTTTATGTTTTTTTGTGTGAAACGGCCAAAAATTCACCACCCAACCCTATTGACCACCCAACCACACCCATCGAAATCCAACCCCAACCCCACCACCGAAACCCACCCCCTAATCCACCCCCACCATCACCGAAACCCCACCACTGTGGCAGAGTCACCACAACCAACGAAATTCACCACCACAATCACCGAAATCCACCCCTAATCCAACCACCAAAACCCACCCCCCACCACCACTAAAACCACAGCCATCGAAACCCACCTCTCACCATCGAAACTCACAACCCACGCCCACTAACCCTGAAACTCTTCCAGCGAAATCTGCTATCCATTCCTGAAACTCTCCAACAAAACCATCAGAGAAGGGTGAGAAAGAGAGAGAGAGAAACTAGAGATGAGATGAAGTAATCCTTCATAGCGATTGGCGATGGCTTCGGCTTCATTGTTGGCATCAAGAGAAAGACGACACAGAAGACGATAGAGAGGGGTGAAAAAGATGACCCTTTATGCCCAAGCAAAAAAAAAAGGATGTCTTTTGTTGCTAAGGAGGATTGAAGTCAATACCTCATTAAATCTCCTTCTAAACCGCATGTGTGTTTTTTTTTTTTTTTTGATTTTTCATATTTTAGTCTTTTTTTAAAACGGAGATGTTAAAAAAAATAAAAACATTCACCAAATGTATTTTTGTTTTTTAAGTCGTAACATGAAAAAAAAATAAAAAATCAAAAACAGCTTGTTACCAAACGTCACATAAGTAACATGGACAATCTTAAAAAGGTGATGTATTTTATGTTGAACATGCGACGGACACTTACATTTCTTGAATAGGTATCGGATATTTTTTTATCATTATCTACAATTAAAAGATACAATTTTAATTTTGAGCATCTACTCGACACTTTTTTGTAGTGTGTCTAACACTTTCTTAATCCTTGTCTACTAAAGAAAATTTAAACATAACACAAAATTAGCAGAGAATATGTAACTTTTGTTTTGACAATTCAAGGGGTGTAAGTTTAATTTCCTCTAAGATTTGTGGGTTTTCAAAATTTTGATTTCTTGATGTTTGAAAACAAGGCCAAATATGAAAAAGTTCTTCCTTTTCTCACTATTAGGTGCCAATCCAAGGGCAGATTGAAGCACTTGATTGGCTTCATGCCCAAAACCAGCGTCTACCACGCTGTTTTTTCTCAGGCAGGAGCCAAAGTGGTGGTTCTGATTTACTTGTTGATGTAAATCAAAGAATCAATGGGAATGGCCGTACTTCATCTGAGGTGCACAAACTTATCAGTGTCGCTGGCATTGGTTCTGCTGTCTTCTTTCGCCATCTCCATCTATTCTCATTTGATGATTGGCGAACCATAAAGAGGTAACAAAATGTAGGAAAGAGTAAAAAGCACTTCTAAATATTAAAAAAAAAATGATGTTTTGTGTTTCTGTAGATTTTCTTCTTTTTGCTCTTGAATATGGTAGAATGAGCATGACATGCGAAGAATGCATTTGGGTTTGTTTCAGAAACTATCTTCAAATAGTTTTCTGCAATATCCCATTTTCAGGGAATTGGGAAGAACTCAAGTTCAGATGATACTGAACAGTATGATTGTCTATAACTTTCAGGGAAAGAGCTTTATTTGATTTGAAACAAATTTTCTTAAATTGAAGATTCCATATATGTGATTAAGCATGTTGCTTGCGCACATATTTTAGTTTTAATTTATACTGGTAATTTAGAGCATCAAGTACAAAGAATTCATTTGAACACCCAAATGTGTTATGATGGTTTTAGGGACAACTTATGATGATGTGGATTCAAGAAATTGGAAGAAATTATCACACAGTTTTTTCTGTAATTTTGAAAGCCTTATCTACAATATGGAATCCTAATTTATGTTCTTTAAATCGAAGGTTCCTCTCTGAGAAATGCCCTTTAATTCGTGCTTATGGAGCCATCCGCTTTGATGCAAGGGCTAACGTATCACGTGAATGGGAGGCTTTTGGTTCATTTTACTTCATGGTTCCACAGGTAAATACTTTATTTTCCTCTCATGAAGTAGTCATATCATGTATATAAATATAAATCAGGTCATGGGTATATCCTAAATGACAGGTTGAGTTTGATGAGCTTGAAGGAAGTTCGATGCTTGCCACAACTGTTGCTTGGGACAATGCCATTGCATTGACATATGAAAAGGCAGTTGCTGCACTTCAGGCTACAATACAACAGGTCTAGGTGTTGCAATTTTTTTACTTAATTACTTTCATATACAAACCTAAAGGTTTGTTTTCCTCATTTTCTGATATAAAAATAAATTTAGGTTTTTGTTTATATTTCAATTTGATTTAGCAGGTCTCCTCTATTGTCTTGAAGTCACAAAATGAAGTACCTAGTACATTCATCCTCAGCAATAATCACATTCCTGGTAAAACATCTTGGGCTCTTGCAGTTAATAGAGCTTTGCAGATGATAAACAGTAGCAACTCATCCCTCAATAAGGTATATAAATAGAACTACATGTTACTCTACTATAGTATGTAACCTTCTTTTGAGATGAGTTAGGTTGCAATAGCGACTGGCAACTGATGTTTGTATCGCATGACTAATATATTCTTGATGAGATGGTTGGATTCACAATGTTAAAACCAAGTATTTCTTTCTTTTTTCACATGGTTGTGACTGTGGCACTATATAAATGCTCTCCCAGCCCATATTTACCCTCTCTTTTACTTATTTCTATTAATTGTTTTCTAATACATCAAGTTCTTGTGGAAATTTAGGTTGTGCTTGCACGAAGCAGCAATGTTATGACCACACCTGATATTGACCCTTTAACTTGGTTGGCTTGCTTACAGGTGTTGTTTTCTTTAGTCATAATGTGTGACCTTTTTCTGAGTCTTCAATTGCTAATAAAATTTAGTACACCTAACACATGCAGGTTGAAGGACAAAACTCTTATCAGTTCTGTCTTCAGCCTTCTGATGCACCAGCATTTATTGGGAACACTGTAAGTGCAATCATTTATCTTATCAGTTATTTAGAAGCCTGTCTACTTTTCTGCTTTGTTGTAGGCTTTCTAAAACTACGCTACATTTCCTTTTAGCTGCACATCAAAGGTTTATTTTTAAGCAATAAGTTTTGCTTTATTAAAATAGAAAGCATTGGAAAGTTTTATGCCTTTATATGCTTTCAGGAGGTGCAGCAAGCAGTTAGAAAGGCTTAAGAAAATACATCTAGATAATGCTTTTGACACCATCGTTTGTTCAATTTGTGTGTTTCTACCATGTGGTTTGAAATGGTACAAAATTGTAAGAGAGTGAAAACCATTGGGAGTCCCTGGACAGCGAACCCCTTTTGTCATTCATTGATGTATTGGAATCAAATATGGAGACCTAATCATTATCTCCACCATAGTATTATATTTATCATATTGACATGCATTGATATTTTGTGTTTTAATTGACCTGCAGTGCTGTAAAGATTTGTTATGACTTGATCTATGGAATACTGTTCCATTTTAGAACAAGTTTTTATTGTCGTTTGTAATTTCTGTGAAGGCTAACTTTTATCTGTAATCTAGCTGATCAGTACACACTTATAGTTCAGAATTGTAGGCATGCAATTAGTATATGATGAATGTGCTGGACACTGGACTTTCTGTTAGATGGGAGCCTGAAGCCATTGATTAAAACCGAGGAGTGTTAATGTAAATTAGATGAAGAATCTTTGGTTTGTTGTCTCCTACGAAAGCATGACTAAGTTTCAGCCTTCAAAACTCGAGGCGTACCATTTATCACATGATTTGTCCCAAACTATGTTAGAAAATTTCTCAAACAACCATATAATTCGAAGCAGAGTAATTATGAGTTCTTGTTCTTACAGTTCTTCTGGTCCTTAGATATCAGTGATTAGACTTATTCTTCTTACTTCATTTGTTGTGTAATGGTACCCTTTGTTGCCTTGTTTATTTCAATCCAAAGTTTCTGAGTAGGGCATGCTAGTCATTAGGTCAGAGACTCGAATTTTGGCTTACGCAAGCATGTTAACTGTTAGAATAAATCTGTGCTTAGGGATAATGTGATTATGAGAATTAATGTTACTAGGCCGTGTTAAGTAGTGCTACCTCCAAGTTAACAGCATCCAATGAAATATCAATACATCTCCATAAAGATATGATAAAAAAGGTGATGCCGAATGCATACTTTCTTTTCATCACCTACGAGATAGTATTTTTTTTTATTTCCAGCTCAGGATATGCATTGCATTGTCACTGCCTCTTAAAAAGTGATATTGGACATGTTTGCTATTTGTGCTTAGAATCACTATGATTTGTGTTTCCACCACAATTGTTTTGCTTGGGTTTTTTTTTTTGAAAACATTAAAAATAAGGTATCATTTTGGGGGGCGGATGTGCCTACTAAGAGTTTATTTGTTAACCACTTATACATAACTTATGAATAGCCAGAACGACTATTTCACCGAAACAAGCTTAGCATTTGTAGCGAGGCTTTGGCTGCAACCCGAGCTAGAGGGGGATCGAAGGCCCTAGATCTTCAGATAGAACTTGATTTACTTTCCAGGTATATTACATTACTGAAATTTGACAAAAATGTTGAATTCTTGCATTGCTTACGTTCACATATAAATACCTTAATCATGTGACTTTGATCTATGTACTTTGCAGTCCTAAGGATCACCAGGAATTTACTATTGTGCGAGAGTGGATCAGAAGAAAACTAGAGGCAAGTGATTTTGTATACCTTTCATATTAATGTGCGGTTCTTGTTTGTGATGGAGTTGCATATGTAACTTGCTAATAGTAATGGGAACATCAACAATCAAAAGTTCATCAAATAGCACTAATGATTTATGTCCTTGTACTTATTGCTGTTGTTAGTGTAAATTTCAAGTTAATACTTGTTAAGGGCATCACTGTTATGTGCCATTGCTTGGATGAAAAGTGAGATCTCTCACACGTACACAAACCACACATCCGGTGGTTGCTCCATCATTCATTATTTTACTTGGAGTCAATGCTAAGCATCCCCCTTGGTGCTTTGTTTATAATAAGTAAAGAGCAGTATGACAGATGGCACAATCTCACAACGGAAAATGTGTTCCATGCAATTTCATTGCCTACAAAGGCAGTTTTCTTCTCTGCTAAACTTACCACTGCATCATACATGGAGTCAAATATGGCGCAATAGGGCTGTCGGCCTATATTGCCTTCACTGTGTTTTCTTAGTTAGTTGGCTTGCATCCACTTGGATTCTATTGAAAGTATTAGATCATCAATGCTTTTGTGCCTCTATTCTGCTCTGTAGGCTGTATGTGCGAGTGTAGTGGTTGAACCAGAGAAAACAATTCGAAAACTCCCAAGGGTCCAACATCTCTATGCTCAACTGACTGGGAACCTGGCAAGTGAAGATGATGAGGTATCTTCCGTGTTTTTTAGTTCTGCATGCCTGTGATGAATTTTTTTTTTTGTTGTGCTTATAAAGTAGGGCACATTCCAGAATTTCTCCTGTAATTCTTCTGTGGTGAAGTGCTTAGGAAGTTGACTCACTTTCATGAGATTAATCCTGAACTAAAACTCATCTTCAATGCTTGTTTTGTCTGTTTCAATAATTTGTTGATCTTGCATGTTTCATACTTTAAAAATAACAAAAATAGATATGCAATAGATTATTTACTCTTATTTCAATAAATTTAAAGTTCTAATTATTTGATAATTTTCCAGTTTGATGTTTTGTCTTCCCTTCATCCAACTCCTGCAGTTTGTGGGTTTCCTACTGAAGATGCGAGACTTTTAATTGCAGAAACTGGTACTTGTGTATTTTCATTCCTTAGCAAGTCTTCTCATGGCCAAATTTCATGAACTTAATTTAGCAGCGTGATTATCATTTTTTAGATTTTCTATGTACAAAATTTGGTAAGATGAACGGGAAAAATACTCTAGGAAACCTCTTCTTGCACCTAAAGGGAATTTACTGGTACTTTGGTAAAGGTTGCACGAACTACTACATTGATGAATATGGTGGCAGTGGTATAAAGTAGCTTTATTGGTGATGCAGGTGGGTTTTTGATAGACTAAAGAGTAAGTTTTTGGTGGTTGTGGAGAGATGGTAGTGATTAGTATCATTGTTCCCCATGTTTTTTCTTAAATTTCCAAACTACTGAATTTCATTTCATTAAGTCCAAAAAAATTCATATAGCACTGTTCCCTAATCATGGTGAAACTGTATTTTGAGCAAATCTACTTCTTGAGTGGAGTTCTAACTCTGCTGCATAGCATTGCACCTTAATTCCAGTTTTGAGTTTTGGAATCAGGAGTGCAAAGTCACTCTTTACTTCTTCCCCAATGCATGACTCTGGCATACCAGTGCAGAAATTATGTGAGAAAATCATGTGTACATAACCTGAATTGTTTCTACAAAGTCAATTCTGGGGTGTGATTGTTTGTTCGTTTCAGTTGGAGAATTATATCTTTCTTAGTTATCTGGCAGATGAACATGTGTTTTAGTATCACCTAATTATGGTTTCCCTTTGCTATTAGTCATGTGATGCTATTCTTTAATTTAGATGCTCTGTGCCACAGAAATGTTTGACCGAGGGATGTATGCTGGTCCTGTTGGATGGTTTGGAGGAGAAGAGAGCGAGTTTGCTGTTGGAATAAGATCAGGTTTGGTGGAAAAGGTGAGCTAACTAACCTACCCTCATTGGCTACAACCTTTTTTTTTGACAGTAGGCATAATATTGTCATCAAAACTTCTTGTCAATGAAAAGCAATGATTATTTTCCGAAAACAAAAAGATACTATGCAACTTAGTTACTCAGAAAAAAATAGGGACTCTTGCACATTAGACAAACTAGGGATTTGTGCATTTGTATTCAAATGATTGAAACTCCAATCCACCACAATTGGAGAAGGCCTTTATAAGTAAAATGAATATATATATATATATTTGCATACTACTATCAACCGTCTCAATGATAATTTAGGAGGCGTACATAGTATTTTATAGTTGTCACTGCATAAAATAAAGTGCTAATACATTGGAATCTTAGGGTAATGGCGCATTATTTTATGCTGGTACTGGGATAGTGGAAGGAAGCGATCCATCTCTAGAATGGGAGGAATTGGAATTGAAGACATCTCAGGTTTCTTTTTATTTGTTTATTCTGATCTGTTTTCTGTGTGTGTGTGCACGTGTACTGCCATGCACGAAAATATGAATATTTGCACAGGCTTTTACTCATTGATTTTTGATATTTGAATTCAATCTTGTTCACACTAGTTCATCAAAGATGATCAATTAATATATTCAAAAGCATTTTGAGGAATATTAGTATGATGTAAAGGCCTTTCTCTTGTGTTTTTCACGCAGTTCACCAAGTTGATGAAATGTGTGACACCTGTCTCGATACCTACAAAGGATGATGTAAAAATTATCAGATGAAACGGTTAGTGGGTTCCAACCTTAAAATTTATGCCTTGCATCTTCTTATGAAGATTATTTATGTACATTCATATTTTCACTATTCCTGTGCTTGGCTTCCCCTGAAAGACTCGACTTACATTACCATTTGGCAAGAGTTAACATTGAGCACAAAACGACACCAAAGTTTCTGCTTTTACAGAAATGAAGATAAAAAAACTTTATCAAATGTGTGTAGTCTTTCATTCATCAATTTTAAGCTAAAATGGTGATGTGCTGACCAGTGATCTCATCGTAATCTCAGTTCCCCCAGCTCAAGTGGCAGATTAGATCAAGAAAGAATAATATGAATGTATTTCAGTCATTGTATTCACTGAAGAGGACGAGATTATCTCAACCGATTCATAGTTTTTCTGATCCCATTGGCTTCAGCATTCAAGCAATGGATCTTGACAACTCCTGTTCATCCATTTGGAGAGAAACATTACCGGCAAGTGTTTGTGTTTGGCTGGTTTCGATCATCTTCTCGCCTCGTCATCATTGGCTTCAACGCTTTCCAATCTGATGCATACAATTCCTGAGACTTGGATGGAGATGATGTATTTTGCTTTTCTTTTCATGTTAGCCTTTCAATGTTGTGTAGTATTTCTCTGTATTATTTCCTTCACTTATTTGTTCCTTTCTATTTGATATGGCTGTGTTTGGCTGGATCTCAGGAATTTTTCTAAATGTGCAGCTACTTGTATTTTTCTTCCACCAATTGATTGACACATTTTACCTGACATGGCACTAATATTATATCAGAGCTATTAGACAAGAGAATGACTACGGTAATGACGGAGACACTATCGAAAGTAACGTTATCGATATTTTGAGGGTTTAAGTTATAACTCAAAGAGTCATGATCGATATTAAAATATCGTGATAGATCATACAAATCTATACATAAAGTGGAGTGGTAAGATTGTGATGAGAGAGATTGAAATTATCGTGCATTACCCGGGGCATAGAGTCAATAATTTCTTTTTAGCGTATACAATGAGAGAATCATGTCAAAATCATCCATCATTTTTTTTTGGCAAAACTTAATTAAAATGATCGGATTCATGTTAAGAAATTGATTCTAAGGAAAAATAGAAATTGCTCTTGGATTAGAGTTGGGATTAACTCTATAGTTTCTTTTATAATGTATTAAATAAACGAGATGTATTATTCTTTATCTATATTAGCAATGTACGACGTGCGTTGCATGTAAATAAATTTAAAATATATTTTATTATAGAAAATATGAATTATATGTGTAATTAAAATAAATAATAAACTAAGTACTGTATAATTAATCTGTATTTTAACTTTTACTAAATTTAATTATTAATTTATTGTAGAAGTCTTTGAGTACCCAATTTGTTATTTATTTAGACATTGGCACATCTAATTATATTATAAAATTATTAATTTTTCTTTTGTTAAATAGATTATTTAGATCGCTTATAATATTATAATATTATTGTATACAAAAAAATAAAATATAACATATTTGACTATGAAATTCAATATGGTAACTAAATGTATATAATAATTTAACATATATATAACTTTACTTTTGCATATAGATACAAGAAATTTTATATAACTATACTACTAATAAATGTGTTTAAAAAAATTTAAAAGTCCTTATACAAGAGTCCAAAATAAGTTAGAAGTCAAATAGGAATAAAAAAATAAAAATTAAATAAAAATATTTAGGTGGGTATAATTGACTTTATTATAATAATTAGAGATAAAATAAAAAATTAATTTTTTTTTTTGCAAATATTGACATTTATAAATACTAGCAATACACGATGTGTGTTTTACACAAATAAATTTAAATAATATTATTTTTATAAAATATATGAATTATAAATGTAATTAATTAAATAATAAATTAGGTGTCAAATAATTAATTTATATCTCAATTATTGCTAAATTTAATTATTGATTTATTCTATAAGTTTTTGAATACCTAATTTGCCATATATTTAGATATCTAAAATTATTAATTTTTATTTTGTTAAATAGATTGATTAAATCGTTTATAATATTATTATATTATTACATATTAAAAAAAAAAATATAATATATATTAGATCGTAGAATTCAATCTGATAATTATATATGTATAATAATTTAACATATATAATATTTTATTTTTTCATATAGATATAAATAATTGTATGTGTATAATAATTTAACATATATAAGACTTTACTTTTTCATATAAATATAGATAATTGTATATAACTATACTATTAATAAATGAGTTCAAAAGAATTTAAAAGTTCTTATAAAAAAGTTTAAAATAAGTTGAAAGTGTAAAAAAACATAAATTAGATAAAAGTATATGGGTGAGTACAAATGAATTTATTATAATAATTAGAGATAAAATAGGAAATTAAAAATTTTTCGTAGATATTGACATATATAAATAGTAGATAGATATAGATATAAATATAGTATAAATATATCTAGATAGATATATAAGGATTAGAAAATCTCACACATGTTTCATGTAGTGTAAATATAAATTATATGGTTTACTTGGTCGGGGAAGTAGTCCACAAACTTACTTAGAAGAAAAAGGACTATAAGACTATCATATACTAATCAAATAAACCTAACATACTCACAATTCTAAACCCCCTAAACTTTCCTAATGCTTCACAATCCCTGTCCTAGTCGTATACTGATCCCAAACTTTCCTAATCCTTCACAATCTCAACCGTCTAAACCCTAATATATATACACAAACGACTCATGAAAATAATCATTATCATACTCTCGGACTTCTCAAGACTCTCTTCGTACGTACCCTACCCTCCATTAGCATTGCCTTTGTTTGTTGTCTTTTGATTGTTCAACAATGTTCGACCCCGTCACAAAGTACGCCCATAATGTATGGGAAGAGGAAGAGGGTATACATAACAACAAGTCTCTCCCGTCTGGTATATTTGTCTTCCATATCCGCATTCGCCATGTTGTTACTTGGTTTAATACAACGCAAGAAGATGGTGAGCCAAGCTTTGAAGGACCACCTGGCCCCATGACTGAAAAAACGTTCTTTGTGAAACACGGTGACTTATCATCTTCTGATGCAGCCATGACTATAATTAATCAGGTGCTTTCTCCTTTGGGAATCCCTTCTGGAGCCATGCCACCGATGATTCGGGACGTCTCGTCGTTTGCTCGGATAGTGGCTGCAAAATGTTTTGAAGCTGGCCGGAGTTAGCCGCCTATTGTTCTGGCGTTTGCAGTCATGACTAGGAAACCATACGAGAGGCCGAATAACGAAGCAGTGCCTGCAACCAAATCATCGGTTGAAGGGTTGGAGAAGATAAGGGTTAATGATCAGTGTATGGTTTGTTTGGAGAAGTTATTGAATGGGTTGGAATTGACTCGGATGCCATGTTCACACTTTTACCATGGAGATTGTATTCTCCAATGGTTATCCAACAAAAACTTCTGTCCATTGTGCCACTTTGACATGCCTACTTTCTTGCCAAAAAAGAGAAAATCAGAGATGTTAAGTTGATCTGATTATTATATGGCAGTGATTTCTTTTACCCCATAAGAAACTCTTAATGTAAATAATTGTTATAGATTTCGTTTTCTTTATTAAACTTTTATTTGTTTGTAATGATGTTGATTTTATATCAAAGGATTTTGAGTATATTAGTTTGTGATCTTACTATTTCTTAAGGTCTTGTATCAGAATTTTTTTTATTTTCTCACTGTTGAGGGTATACCTGAGAGAGAGAGAGAGAGAGAGAGAGAGTATATTAAATTACTTGGTTCAAGGGTAAATCCTGGGCCAGAAGATTTCCTGCAAATACTAGTAGGCTATCTTGGTCTCAAATAACTGTATATGGTGGAAATCTATTTTGCACAGAATGTGTTTTTGATTTCAGTTTGAAAATATAATCAATAAGCAACATTTTTATAAAACTAATTGATCTCCACCGCTTTGTGTGTGTTATTGTGAGCTGTATGAGAGCATCGGGAACTTCAGATATCTAAGGAAAAAAATTTTAAGAGTCATTTCAGAGACGGTACAGCTGAGCCTTGTTCAAATAGATTTCCCAAAAATAGCACAACCAGTCCACCTTAACACTTCAAGGATAGCTTCTTCTTTTTTTTATCACCAAGGCCACACATGGAATGAGAGATAGCAACACAAACTTATTTTAGTTGCTAATTGATGTCAAATTTCCAATGATACGGCTCTAGTTTCTGTTACAAAGAAAATGACTAAAGGAACATACATTAAACCAAAGAAACAAGCAAATCTGTGCGACTGCAGACAGAATCAATAAACCCTCCACACACGTTGTCATGCTTCCACTATGTTGGCTCAAGTTTTCATGGGAGCTCACAGATAACGTAGAGAAGTCGCAAATTGTGTGGCAACTTCTGCTTTGTGATTGAACATAAAAGGTTCATAGGTTTCATACAACATCCTGAAGTGCCTCCACCCATCTTACAAAATGTGACTTCAGATGTCATCTGCACACAAGGTCAACCCAATCCTTAATTATAGGGATTTTGTTATCAACCTCTAAGATGTAGAAAGTAAACTATTAATGTGAATTACACAATTTTATATAAAAGCAAGAAAAAGTACACAACTATTTAGAGTTTAGACATCCAGTTTTGAACCTCTCTTCGCTTCAGAAACCTTCAGTAAGTGCAAACACTCGGTCTGCCAACAGTGGCGGCAATACAGATAGGGCATCTTGAATAACCTGAAAAAAATTAGCAGGCATTAACTTGATTACGTCAGAGAGAAAAAAAAATTAATAGAGCAGTGTAGATAGGAATACCCATTGGAACTCACCATCCTGGAAGACATATGATTGTCATTGCTNAATAGGGATTTTGTTATCAACCTCTAAGAGGTAGAAAGTAAACTATTAATGTGAATTACACAATTTTATATAAAAGCAAGAAAAAGTACACAACTATATAGAGTTTAGACATCCAGTTTTGTACCTCTCTTCACTTCAGAAACCTTCAGTAAGTGCAAACACTCGGCCTGCCAACAGTGGCGGCAATACAGATAGGGCATCTTGAATAACCTGAAAAAAATTAGCAGGCATTAACTTGATTACGTCAGAGAGAAAAAAAAATTAATAGAGCAGTGTAGATAGGAATACCCATTGGAACTCACCATCCTGGAAGACATATGATTGTCATTGCTATGGGAAAAACTACATGTACTTACATTTAATTGATATCGAGCTGAAAAGTGAATCAGTAGAATTGCTTTGTTCTCAAATCTGTCTGCATAACTGATTATCTGACAGAAATATATTAGAATTGCAACAAGAACAAGCATCAAAGTCAAAGAATGGGTCAGCAGGCATGAAGGAAATAGCAGAGAAACAACCTCAGATAAATGTGTGTGCCCGNATGTTAAATAGTTACAAATCAGGTCTAATTTGGTCCGTGTAGAAAATTAGTAAACTTGTACACGATTCGTTTAAATAAGGGAAAATTTGAAGGGAGTACACCAAATTAAAGTTTATTGNAGCATCAAAGTCAAAGAATGGGTCAGCAGGCATGAAGGAAATAGCAGAGAAACAACCTCAGATAAATGTGTGTGCCCGTACTCTCTTGCATCCTCCACAGTCATAGTGTTCTCAACATAGGTGCTCTGCAGGAGAAGATGAACACTAGGCAAAATGTGTGAGAAAACAGGCATGTCGCCTAATTATTATCTGCNGTCCTTAATTTTTATACTTATTTGTGTCAAATACATTATTTGAAATTTTCAGATTTTTTTGTGACATTTTTACGTCCTCCCTTGATACATGTGAATTTTCTTTTTGAAAAGTGGTTCATTTTTCAAATTATATATATATGCATTAAACATCTTATAATTTTATGAGATTACTTTAATAGTCCGTTTACTTATGCATTAAACATCTCCTAGTTTTAGGATATATCATTTTGTTTGAATTTTAAATTTTGAAACTCTNTATCTGCAAGTCTTGAGTTCACTTGCAAATATCACTGATCAACATGTTCCATTCGTTGGTAATTTTATAACCAACTTGCAAGTTGCCTTTGTGAACCAAAAACAAGTTATCAAACTGATTGGCATTTCATATGTTGCTAATCACACAACAGCCTTGTGATTTCTCAATTTTCAATGAGAACTTCTCATGTTGGTTCTGTGCCGTTTTTTGATTCATTTGTAGGGTCGATCTCTAGTAGGCAATGTAAAGTTTAATTTGGGATATCCATTGTCTCATAAATGAAAGAATTTCACAGGAATATGCCAAGAAGGCAAACAAATGATGACCAAAAAGAGCAGGCATATAAATTTCAAAACCTATTTGGGTTAGGTATAGTCAAAATTGACCAGTGATTTGATTGATTAAGTTGTGGTGTTAGACAAAAAAAGGTTTTAGTGGCTAAAGAAAGCTGTTGGGGCCGTACAGTAATTTATGAACAGTAAAATTGTTTTTAGGGGTTCAAAATTGGATGGGCTTCAGTGTCTGTTCAAGGGTTGGTTTTGCTGATTCGGATTTCTTGGTATCTAAAGAGAACCTAAATAAGTCTTAGGATTTAGGAAACGTTTATATTCAAAAAATAATGAAGAAACGAAGAAGAGGAAGAAAACTAGGAATTACTTCCACAGTCCGTTAGGCATCACACCAAGGGGTAGGATAGCATCACCTGCTAAACATGCATTAAAAACTCTAAAAATTTCACTAGAGCTGATCTCCATTCATTCTAAATTATTTTATGTGAAAATTACATCCTATTCTAAAAAGAATTTCCAATCCAATTCAGAAACTAAGAAAAAATAAACCTAGTCTAACTCAAAACATAAGGAGACTATAAAACAGCCCCAGCGGCACAATTTTACTTATTTCTGCCAAAACCTTCTATTATCAAGTATGGATGGTACCGTTTCGATGGGAACCAATTCTTCTGAACAACAGGATTTTTTTTTAGGATTCTTAACACAAGTGGTTTGATTCTTTTAAGTCGACTAAAAGAAGCAGCTCGAGATTACGGAAATGCACTTGACCCTCAAAAAACAATGCAAACTCACAAAAATTAAACCAGAAAAATAAACCATATAATATGACTTAAAAAAAGACTGAACTAAATTATGCACAGTCCCATCTGGGGCCTGCATCATCCAACACATGCCAAATCATGGGTCATTAGCCCCTTGTAAGCATCCTTGCCAATCCATTTGTAAGCCTAGGATTGAACATGTCAACTTATCTCCATGTTATGCGGCATAAGATTGTCTAATTTCCCTAAAGTCAACATCACGACTTCATATAGAGGCAACAATAGTCTAAAAAACTATACTTTGTCAAGCAGATCATTCCAAAGTATATCATTCATGTGCTGTACCTCCATAATGAGAATCTTTGCCCTTAAAACATCAATATTATCGTTGTCAACAATGAAGTCTGACATTGTGTCTCCCGTAAAAGCAATTTCAGGTGTTGTTACAGTATATGTAATCTGCCAAAAAAGCAAATCCACCACTGTTAGACGTTAACTGTTGGGAAACTGCAAAAAGGATTTTTACCACATAGAATAGCCACCATATATCATGCAGTATTTCTTATTTACCAAGACATCAAATTATCAAGTCTCGCCATGTCAACAAAATTGTTTATACATTATTTGCAAACAATGTCCCCCCTATATTCCTCAACCAGCAGATTTCCACCCTCCCCCTCCCCCTCCCCC